TCAAATTACTATATATAAATATACAAGATTCTGTAAAAAAAACTAATTTGTTATATTTCATAAAATTTTAAAGGTATATTACAATCCGTAAAAACAAACTAAAACATAAAATCAACACAGTTATCTTGATGCAAACCTTGAATATATACGGCTGAAAGGTCTGGACAGCAGCATCAGTCTTTGTCATATCAACCTACAACCACCATTATTCAGAGATCAGAATCAAGTCGACACAGTTAAAGTGCATCGGGCAGACAATAAAACTGAATGAAGAGAGATATTGTAAATTCAATGAGAATTGAGTACCTGATCAGGTCGGAAAAACAACTTGTTCATGTTAGCTAGTTCAACAGAGTCATAGTCATACAACAAAAGACGACCAATACCACATCTGGTCAACATTTTAGCAGCAACACTTCCAACACCAACTCCCTGTCACATAAAGTTTCCAACTAACCCTTGTATAGAGTGGATTAAATTGTATAGCAGAGGAAAAAAAATTGAAAAAAGGAGAGAAATACATACAACTATGACGACTGAAAACTCTCTTATCCTCTCATTAGAGATCCTCTTGAGAGTGCCATAATAAGCCTACTGTAAGGATTACTATCTACCACTTCTGAACTTAATTCCTGCAATATAGAGATCCTCTTGAAATCAGAACACATTGCATAGATAATAGTTAAGTTATGTTATAGGAGACAAAGCAAATGCAATGCAAAAATCCAAGAGAATTTTTAAGCAATGTTAACCTCAAGAGAAACTACATCCAAGCAATGCAACAACAAAAGCTTTGACATTTCACGAACATGCAGCAAGGAAAAGGACATAAGCAGATCAATAATCGATCGAAGTTTACTTTGAGGAACACTATATTCGGCACGTGGCAGCGTAGAGACGTCTCAAGCGTCTCATTGCACTGATCCATCATCCATCTCACACCATTATATAGCAAATAATTAGTTTTTTACTTTTTATTTTTTACTTTTTAATGATAAGAAACGGCGATAGATTCACCGTTATGGATGGTCTTAGTAGCTAGACCGAGTTAGCAATATAATTTTATAAATAGTGATATTGACATATTTAGTCATTATATAAGTTATAGTACTAATTTTGATTCAATACAGAACATATACCGTTTGTCGAAATGCAAACCCAAAATTCAATTGTATCGGGGCAGAAATAAGATAATATTCTAGTTTATTTCTTACGCAAGTAATTGATGGAATATGTTA